ATATTATCAATAATACAATCACTATTAATTTAATTACGCAATTTGCAAAAGAACATCGTAAAAATTTTCTTCTCGGATTCATTGAATTTGTTTTTAGCTGATAGAAATAAGCCACAAATATATGAATTATGAGTTTGTACTTCTTTAATTAGCTAAACAGATCACGTTTTTATTAGTATTAATAAGGTGCAAAGGTTAGTTTCTAAGAAATAAGGGGAGGTCGCTTTAGGAAACCTATGTCAGTATCGATGACCTTCCTCTATAAAAGTATATTAATGTTTTTAAACTTGCTATCTAATTTGATAATGATATCTTTTAATTTTCTATTAATATCACACTGAGAAAAATTTCTAGTTGAAAATGAATGAATCAAAAGATTCTGATCATATCAATTTTTATTATTTCAACTAGAATTATAATTAGATCAACCAGGAAACTCTGATTTTTCTATTTTCAACTAGAATTCCAATTAATACAACCAGACTCTTTAAAGTTTTAGCGTTTTATTTTACATTAAAATTTCGAGGAAACAGTGTTATCTTACATTATGCATCTCATCTAAGATCCTGTCCAAATTTTCACAACTCTAGTACTACGCAGTACTTGAAAGTAATCATAGATTTTATGCAAGCATTTGCTTCGCGGAACACCTGGGAGTGACTTAGTACGTGCAATTCCAACAAACTAGCTGCGCGAGATTACGAGAGAATGAAAGCTCGCGAGATTCGCAGTAGTATTCATCGTTCGCCATTATCCGTTTATATTGTTTCCAGATTCCACGTCGATCAAACGTTCTCTAGTCGAACAATTACACGTCTCTGCCTTCCCGAGCGCAACATTTTCGAAAGGTCAGTCGTTACATTAAAATAGGTCATCATAGTCCTATCTCTCTTCGTCATCTTTCATTGTATTGCGCTCTCTCTATCTCTCTCTCTCTCTCTCTCTCTCTCTCTCTCTCTCTCTCCCTCCCCTCTCTTTTTCCGTATCTACCCCTTTCTCCGCGGGAGCGAAGGTGCGATTCGAAGATAACCGGCCCGACTCACGTCATAATAAAATTAAATTCATATCTTTCGAATCAGCAGAACGCGATAGCTACCGCGACATGACCTCCCGCTTATTGTAAGTAAACATGTATGTCCTCCCACCTTCTATCCCTGTCCATTCCCTCCCATCACGAATAGTTTTGATTCATGAGACGGTCAGCAAGCCGAGCGTGCATGTCGCTCGCGCGTATACACCCTTCTACGTGCCACTGCATTTCGAGGTGTGCGTTTCTCTCCCTTCACCCCTTCACCCGGGACACCGCGAATCAGCCGACACTGCATACCAGTAACCCGACTTCCAAGCCTTCCTATTCCGATCCCGCTCCTCACTTCTTTCCGCGCGAGCTCGCGCGCCCGCCACGTATAAACACGTGTCAACATGTCAGTTGACATAGATTTTTCGTTGAGATAGAGAACTTGGAGAATAAGACGAGCGAGGCCCGGCTTGAACGAGAGTCCCGATCGACTCTGTTCCGTCGTATGAGAAAGAGAATGAGAGGGCGGGGCACGGAGCGACGAGCACGCGGAAAGCAATGAGACATGAGAGGCAAGAGACGGCATCTCTCTTTCGAAACTAGTTTGTACTTCTGTAGATGAGGAGGGCTCGTCCCCTGTTCTCCAGAGAGCGAGATGTTTCGGGCGCATTTAACACTGGGAGGCAGAGCATCACTGCATTGTCGGATCCGATCGTAGTAGCATCGCTGCGTTACATTCCCGCATAATTAATGCTGCTTTCCGGAGAGCGGACCGGACGTAATAAAACATAAGAGTAAGCCGTGAAGAGTCAATCTAGGAATCTTATTAACCGTGATCTATATATTAAATCGTGATGGAAATCTTCAAATGTATTTAAACTTTTAAAGTTTTAAAAAGTAAATTTGTTTTCAATTTTGTCAATTGATTTTCATTTAATATTGATAATTTTTTATTTATTGTAAATATCAGGTTTATAGGTATTACACATCGCTAATTTAAAGCATTTAAATGTTTATCGGAATGATCGTGAAGTGTATGTACTCTCTTCTATTAAAATATTTTTTAATAATTAGTAGTGATCACAAAATTAAAAATGAATATTTATGAATAGAAATACCATACATACTATAAATAAATATCATAATTACGAATAATGACTGCCAATTCTATTGATTCAGCTTAAGCTATAACGTTTGTTATTATATATATAAAGATCTAAGGAGTGTTGCAAACTATAATTGCACGTTACGGTACATTTATATTATCATGGCCATGAGAAATAAAAATTCCCATATCTATTCTAGCATCAATTAGTGCAATAATGTATAATAATTTTTGTAAGAGGTAGTGTTCAGAGAGAGAGAATAATGCTCACGAATGTGAGATAATTAAATTATTAGTTTTGTAAGACGAGCTTTTCTTCTCCTATTTATAGCTTTGTAAGATCAGTTTGCTGAAAGAATTTTTGCCGCTGAAAAGACCGTTAATTTTAGATAAAGACCGCTAAATTTGCAACATCTTGTCGATTGACAAATCAGACATTCATCAATAAATCACGTCGTTCAATAACTTTTCATTTCCAATATACTTAGCACGGATATGAATCATCCTCATCGCGAAGGACCGAGGTGCACTATCCGCAAATGTACCTAGGTACGCAAATGCGCGCTACGGGGCGAAAGTTGCGATATATCCGTTATAATTTCGTACCAAAGGGGTGAGTACACACGGGAAGGTGCGTATTGCTTCCATATGTAGGAACCATTTGTTCCGGAAAATGGCGCAATTTTGTCTCCCTGGCGCAATGTCGGAACAAATGCAATACCTTCGCGGTCGTAATTTAAACAGCGAGCCCTTCACGTGCCTCGTTGTATTTATTCGGAAATATATAAGGGATCTCTCCTCTCTTCTCCTCTCCTCTCCTCTCCTCTCCTCCCTCTCTCTCTCTCTCTCTCGCTCTCTTTCTCTCTCTCTCTCTCGCTCTCTCTTCTCTTTGCAAGGATTCTACATTCTGTAATTTCTGTTAGATGCATGTTTAACGTTTAACGTGGCGGTAATTTCATCGATGCACTTAGCGCACGCTCAACGATGTCTTTTCAAATTGATTTAATGCGGTTGTTACGGAATCTATAAATCTGTAAGAGTCTATAAATCCATAAGAATCTATAAATTTGTAAAGCTACGATACCTAAAATTAACGATCTGAAAATTCCAAGAAAATTACTCGGCGACTTTTCGCGAACTTACAATAGAAAAAATTTTTAATGAAATTAATGGGTGGGAGGAGAAGACAGAATTCTTATGATACGAGAACGAGATCTCTTATGATATGATAGTAATATAAGATTGAAGGAGACCTAAATGATGATCGACCCGTATAGCACATCGAAGTTATGATCTAACGAGGCCCTTGCACATGCAACGCCTCGGGCAATTGCTTAGTTCGTCCCGAAATAGATCTTCCTCCGAGTAGCAAACAGATACACAGTACAGTATATAAGCTAACATACGTAATTGGCAATTACTCTGTTATTTCGCGCCGTTTTTGTGTACCACAATTTCTTCCAAAAATCTCAAGATGTTCTCTGAACAGATTTCTTGTCTCTTCTCAAATTACAAGTATTGACGAAGTTAATGAAGTGATATTTTTCTGGTAACAGTTTTCGAACAATGTAGAATTTTTAACATACGTGGTTTGTTTAAAGTCGTTGAATATCTCCTTTATAATGCAATTTCTTTACTGTTAATCTTTAAAAAAAAATAGATTAACATTTTTATATTATAGATATTTATTTAAATATTTTGAGACGTCTGATTATGTTTTATATTGTGGAAATCTGCAAATTTCTCCTTATCTATTTTGTCATATATTTGTCGTTACATACAATTTCTCTGTCCAATCATGTACTCATGAATTTCTGTTTTCATATTCAATTTGTATTATGTAAAAGCCAGCTTCGCGCATACGCAACTACTTTCGTTTTCTCTCTCGCGATCTCTGTTACTGAAAGTTTCCTTTCTTTAGAATAATACTTTTGAGACTTTCACGGATATTTTCTTCAGAGATGCCAAAGGGTTTGCGGGTTATCGCTGTGTTGTGATCCATTCTTCGTCTTCTATGGCGCTACAGCTCAAATTGAGTCTTGGCCTCCTCATCTGGAGATAAGTTTTCGAAACAATGATTTTTTCGGAATTGGATTGTTAGTCTAATGTTCAACCCCCAATCTGAAGGATCGATGTATATATTATATCTACTGATATATGGAATCAACAATTTTTAACGCCGGCTCTAAACGGCGGTAAGAAATATACTTTCAGTGATTTGCCATTGCCTTCCGAAAAGTGATGTCAAATTTTTGTGTTCTGAGTGGATTTGAACCCTGGACCTTCGGCATAGAAAGTAGCCGCGCTTACGCCACGATCACTACAGTCACACTGTGTCGTGATCTATTACTAATACCTAATTTCTTTAAAATCCTTCTCTGTTAAATCTATAGTGTCAAATTTAACCTAACGTGAGTCGCTACTGCTCCTACTAAATATATCGTTATTTTTTACCAAAACGATAGTTAAATTTGACACTATATTGTGTCAATTTGACACTATATAGTGTTAAATTGATACTGTTATAACCATTGTTTTAGTATAAAATTACAAAATGATTGAGTAGGAGCAATGGCGACTCACGTTTAGTTAAATTTGACACTATAGATTGAACAGTGTTTGTTCTCTATATAGTTGGCCATTTTTGCTGTGCGTTGCAAATTTGTATAACTATAGATTTTGTCAGTAAACATATTAAAGTGCGTGAAGATTAAAGATGAAGAAAATCATTTCATTTCTGACCCTACCAAAAAGAATAAAAATATCAAATGTTGTGCTAATATTTAAAAAATAACATTTTAATCTGTTTTTGCACTTAGTATTTCTATTATGTTTCCTACTCTAGAATCTCTCGCTCGCGAGACCAAAAGGACTTACCTTCACGCGTTACAATGTCGGGTCTCGGCACGGCCAGCGAGGTCCGAAGAGAGGGGAAAAAATCAACGAGCAGGAAGAAATCAAGATCCCTCGCGCGCCGCGGGCTTTCTACTTCTCTCGGAGGGGTGAGTGCGTGCGTGCGTTCGTGCGTGCTTGCCTGCGTGCGTGTTCGGGGTCTCTCTCGCGTGCGGCGTGAGAACTCTTTTTCGGGCCCTCACGAAACGATAAAAAGTAGACGAAGAGGAGGACGAAGTAGCACCCGGGAGCTCCTGTCTCTCTTTGTTCCTCTGCTCTCCTTTTCTGTCTGCTTCTCTTGCTTTCTTTTTCTTTCTTTCTTTCTGATTTCCTTTCTCTTTCTCTCTCTTTCTCTCTCTATCGATCTCACTTTTCTCTTCCCCCTCGATCGCTTCCCTTATTATGCGAAACGGCACACGAATCTCAATGGCTTTGCGTGATTATTAATTAAGACGTTCCTTGTCGAACGATTCGTCAATGAAGATGTCCCGACGCGCGACCGCTCGCTATCCCGCGGCTGTCCTTAGATCACGTTAATTATATCTGCAGGTAAATGGCGCGCTGCGCCATTCCTAATTCGCGTGTTTCGGTCATATGCGAATATGTCACACGAGAACGTGCGAGATGGAGACGTTGTCAAAGGACCAGCAACGTTTCGCGACTGCGTCTAGCACACACCAAGTTAATTAGACTGATTAATCAGAAAGCCTGACGCTGGCTGTCGCCGCGTCTTTTCCCGTCCTTTGAGAAGGACGAGAAATCAGCGATCGTGAGACAGTGACATGTAATTTAGTATAATTAGTATTAAAGAGCGTTTATATGATTTTAGCATCATGCGATTGTAGTCAGCTGGGGGAACTCAGGGCTTAATCATACGTACATCCCTTGCCGATATTCGATCGAGACTCACGATTTATGATTGTCGAAATCGAAAGTGCAATCGTCGCTAATTGTTCATATCGTTTAGCTATCAGTTAACTGTCAGCGATTACTACCCACTGTTCAATACTTCTTCCTTCTACATAGCTGACACCCCGATCCTTTGTGAGCGATCGAAACATATGCAGTTTCGCGAATATTTGATTTGAGCAACATTAATTGCTGTTAACGCTTATTAATTAGCTTGCAGCGATTCCCAGTCACTTGTCAAATGTTTCCTTTGATATAATACTCCGATCGCGTGTCCATAGCATGCAGTCTTCGTCCAACCGTTCCACAGAAGCGTGACTCTTGATAAGCGTTAATTATCCAGATATTAATTAGTCGTAATCGCAATTATCATTCCACTGTGTGCGATTCACTTTTTACTTGTTTCTGCACTATAATGTCTCTATCTTGGAACAAAAGAATGAGGATCGCAATCATGCAATCCATTAATTACTAAAGTAATTAATACACCGTTATTTATATTATCTGCCCATTAAATGTTGTAACCACTCGCGTTTATCAAACGGCACATAAATTCTGTATTCGATCGTCCATTCGATACTCCGCCTCGAAGGTGTTTACGATCACCTTCGATAGAAAAATTCTCCTTCTTACTAGGAAACCAGGCTCATACAACATTCATAATACTCGACAAATAAAAATTCTTAATGCATTGATCCTGTTTACGATCGTGCTGCTTCATCTAATAGCAATCGAAAACTTTCGCAATTTAGAGACCTTTCGAATGGGACACGACGAAGGTAGTGATCGAGTCGCATGTATTTTTCGTTCTTCCTTTACAATCAGTTAATCGCTTTTCTCAACTTGAACGTTTTATCTCAATGTACATTTGTACTCGCCACGCATTAAATGCCACTGCGCGTGCGAACATCGCGTTCATAACATATTCATTTCAAGTGAAGTAACGACTGACCCTTGGGTTTCTTCCACTTTAAAAATTCATTCACGAGATGAGTAATTGACGCAGTCGCCTGTTGATTTTCTCGAGGTCGTCGTCGATTAATAGCGGTTAATGGTTGCAGTAATCCTTTGATATTACTTCATCCTTAGATATCACTTATGAATCGGAAAACGAGTTTGGATATGTATTGAAGTCAAATTTTGTTTTGCAGCCTAGAATCTTTTTTCATAAATTGTGCCACGAATTTGGAATAGTTCGGTCAATCTTCGTTCATCTTTCACTCAAATATAAGAATACGAACTTATAGTTCTGCAAATAATTGAAATATGATTGAATAATTGAAACAAATACATGAAATCAGTGCGTTCATAAGTTAAATTATCTCCGTATCTTAAAATCGCCTTATTAAATCAAGTTACAAAGTTTAAATGATAGCGTACAGGGATAGTGACTGAAGTAAAACAAATTTCCTTAGTTTCTCTTAGGTCACTGTTTATGTACCGGGAGTTTCGTATCGTCCTCGGTCAATAACGAGCAACGGCAATGTAGACTCGTACGTTAAGTTAAGTTAAACTTCGCCTTCCATCTCCGAATTACTCTCGACGAATTGGGACACGAAGTTTGAACGCTCACTCGCTCGCTCTCTCTCTCTCTCTCTCTCTCTCTCTCTCTTTCTCTCTCAGGAAGTAGCAATCGGATTAAAATAAATCGCCTGCACTAGCCTCGGGTCACTGAATCACTTTTTATAAACCAGAAGCTTTTAATCGTCTTGCGGAAGATAGAAAATGAACTATCTGTGATAAATAGAAACTATCAGTTTATTATTAAGTCAAATCACATTCCACTTCAACAAGTCTTTACATGGACGTCTTAAATCATTCGTCATTCTTGAACCGTTATTCGAGAGTCCCGTTGATTTGTCGATTGTTTGCGGTTATTATTCTTTAATAAACAAGAACGATGTAACCCATTCATTAAATCAAGTCACTTTATTCCTTCTCTCATTTCTCCTTACTGTTTCTTTATGAATCAAGGTAATTGGACCAATTCCTTTCGTCACAGGGTCACTAGTTTACGAATCCGGACGCGAGAATGGAAATGATTTCACGAGGTTGCCGACGAATCGGGCGCGCACAAGTCGGATTAATTACACCGACAGATTAATCAGTAGCCGGAACTCACTCGGCCGAGTGGGTCGCGGCACTGGATGCTGCACTGTCGCGGTCACTCGTGGTGACCGCACCGCTGGACGCATCTCGGGGGCATTCGCACGCGGGCGCTTCCGGTTAGCCGGAAGCGGCACGCATCGAAGAGAGCGCACTCTCGCGTTCTCCCTCTCTCTTTCCCACGCGAGCGACTGGAGCACTCCGATCGCACTCACCCGCTGGATCACCGGTAGCGCGCGCTACCGAACAGCACTGATTCGACGAACACACACACAATTGATGACACACACAAACACGCGCGACACACACACGTACACGGACACGTACGAGAATTATTCGCTGTCCTCGTGCGTTCGTCCTAACACGTCTGTTTTTAGGATCGTCGAAGGGACACGTCGTTTAGCCGATCCTTTCGCGAAAGTTACGTGACTAATTCACCGTCTTAATGATGTCACGATGATAATGATGACAATGACAACGTTGCAATCGAAGTGGCACAACGATCATCCAAAATCAATCGAGACATCTGTCAACTGTAAAGATCCTTGAATAAATTCGTCGGATCACGATTTTCTTCCGCTACATTATCCCTCGAGCGTGTTCATGGAGTGACGTAACGCGGCAAACGCGGTAACGATCGAAAAACGGAATCGGTTGGCGCGTCCGGGCCGCTCGGATGGACCACCGTGATCCGGCCTCGGAACACACGCTCGTTGGACTGTCGTTCGGAGCAGCTCGGGCCGCGGTTTAGTATCAACGTTCGTTCTTGGCTTGCGTCGCGCCCCTCCCGGGACGCCGGCCGACGCCAATCGAGTGCGCGTATACCTACTACGTGCACGTACCTGCAAACCTGCAGGAGGTGAATCTACCTCTGCCTTTCCGCCCAGCCTGAATCTCGACTGCGCGACCTGCGCCCGCGCGCGTGGTCCTATTCTATACGATTGCATGTATACGTGCCTGCGGCTAATATATATACACATTGCACATGCGTTTGTAGATGAAGCTAGCATATATAGGACCTGCGCCTGCGATTCTTAATCCATTTCCATTAAACATCAAATAAAGGCAAAATTGTTTGACAACGATAAATTACTGTCATTGGTGCATTTTATATTTCATACAGCACAGAAGCTTGCAGCAACGTTTCCAATGTTACTGCAACATTGCTGGATGCAATGTACAGGAATGATTTGTGCTGTATGGGATATAAGTCGTTACCTACAGAGCTGAAGGGGCATGTAGGTATTTGAAATACTTTTATTTTAAACACATTATTTGCAATACACTTAAATCTCGTAGTAACGCGCGGTTCGGGGATCCGAATGTTATAACAAGGTCGTCCCTGCTATTACTCCCACTCATGCTACTCATAGCGCGGAAGGGATTTTTCGCGCTACTTCGAGGTTCGCTATTACGAGGTTCCAGTGTACAAGTGTATTTTGTATTTCAGCGAATCACATGAAAGTATTGCATATTTTGTATTTAAAATCGAAAGATTGAAAATTTTTTGTATTTTGTAATTCAAATAATAAGACTGATTGTCAATATATATTAGTATTTGAAATACAAAATACAAAATATTTTTATGTGCTCCGCTGAAATACAAAATACAATTGTCTTACAAGTAATGTTTTTCAAATAAAAGTATTTCAAATACATTCCCCCAGCCCTGGTTACCCATACATCATAGATCATTCCAGCAATGTTGTAACAACATTGCAATTAATAATTAAGAATTAAATAAAGAAAAAATATATATATATGAACCAATTGTCATTGATTCAATGTGATTTAATTCTCCATCTATTTTTATATTTTTATTTTTTTAAACTTTTTATTGTACAATAACATTATTAATTTTTATTTGACTTACTGACTTATAGAGGAACAATTGATTAAGCTAGTAAAAAACCATTTCATTTCATATACGTACACTAAGTATTGAAGAGAACTTAAATCAAAGTTAAAACGTCTGCATGAGATAATCATGTAAACCACTTAACTGTAATTAAACACTAATTTACGTACGAATAACTGCGTTGGCTCTTTCTCTCTTTCTCTCTGTTACTCTCTTTTACGCTTTCTTTATTTAATTCTTAATTATTATTTCAGGAGCTTTACTTAGTTTTAATTGCAAGCAATGTTGCAGCAATATTGCTGCAAGCTTTTGTGCTGTATGGATACTATTGTTCACTTACTATTGTGTATAAACCATTAAACGATACTTCATGCGACTTCTGTAGAAAAAAGAAGGAAGGAAGTTAGATGTTAATGTTCGGATTTGATTTTGTCATGTAAAATTAATGCAATTAAATTTCGTTTTCATACTTAAAAATCTCCTTATTTCACTTCATTAGATATCCATGAACCACTTGAAAGTTTCTTCACGATTTCCCATAAAAAAGAATTTACATCAGCGCCAAGACTGCTATTGCACCTCCTGATGCTAACGAAGTACTTCATGTTACGAATTGAAGAAATTTTTTTTTGTGTTGTCCTTTTTTTATAATAACATAGCGGATTAGCCAAACCTGAATAGCATATTCAACGAAATCGGGTGCATCATTTCGACTTCACGCTTTCGCTAATTGGCAGACACCAGTCTAAATACTTTTAAACATTCGTTTAATGACTGGTCTGACATTATTCTCTGGTTGTCTCCCCCTCCTCTACTCCCTCCCCCCCCCCCCCCCCCCCCCCCCCCCCCCCCCACACACACACATACACACACTCTCTCCCTCTCTTTCTCTCTCTAACTCG